GAGAATTGTTTGCAGAATTCTGTGCATTCAACGATTTGGTGATTGGAGGCAGTGTGTTCAGGCACAAGGATATCCACAAAGCGACATGGACTTCACCAGATGGACACACTAAAAATCAAATCGACTTTATCTCAATCTCAAGAAAATGGAGACGCAGTCTACTTAACACAAGGTCAAGAAGAGGAGCAGATGTAGGTTCAGACCACTATCTAGTGCAAGGAACCTTCCAAATCAAGTTAAAAGCCTTCAAGGAAGCTGGTGATAGACCTCAATTCAAGTACAACACTCGGAAACTGAAGGATGAAACTACAAAGGAGATCTTCAAAGCAGCCATCAAGACAAAATGGGAGACGTCGAGGGACATCCCTGAAGAAACCTGTGTAGAAGAACACTGGAAGTCTTTGAAAGCTATGTGGAAAGAAACCTGCACAACAGTATTAGGAAGGAAGAAGAAAGAAGACAAGGAATGGATCTCGACGGATACCTGGAAGCTGATAGAGGAGAGGAGGATGGTGAAGCAGAAGATAAACCAGTGCAAGGATGCTCAACGACAAGAGGAACTGAGCACAATGTATAAAACACTGGATAAAGAAGTGAAGAAGAGTGCACGCAAAGACAAACGACACTTCTACGACACACTGGCAAGTGAAGCAGAACAGGCTGCAGGTAAGAGAGACCTGACGACATTGTATCAAATAACCAGGTTGCTATCAGGGAAGAGACCAACACAGATGAAACCAATAAAAGATGAAGAAGGAAATTTAATTACAAAAGAAGAGAAACAGAGGAAACGATGGGCCGACCACTTCAAGAAGCTCTTGAATCGACCACCACCTGCACTTCGTCCAGAAATACCACCTGCAGCCGCTGAATTACAAGTGAACATAAATCCCCCAACGAAAATGGAAGTCCTGAACGCCATAAAGCTACTGAAATGCGGGAAAGCAGCAGGACCAGATGGAATACCGCCAGAAGCACTGAGAACAGATGCAGAGACAACAGCGGACATGCTCACACCACTATTGCAGAAGGTGTGGAGGAAGAGAAGGTACCTGACGATTGGAAGAAGGGTTACCTTGTCAAACTGCCGAAGAAGGGAGACCTCAGTGCTTGCAAGAACTGGCGAGGAATCACTCTCCTATCCACCCCAAGTAAAATATTAAGCCGCATCATCCTGGAGAGGCTTAAAGACGCACTGGATTCAAAACTGCGACCGGAACAGGCAGGCTTCAGGAAGTACAAATCATGTGCTGACCAAATTGCAACGCTTCGTATCATCATAGAACAGAGCGTAGAATGGCAATCAGCTCTATACCTCAACTTCATCGACTTTGAGAAGGCCTTTGACAGCGTCGACCGAGAAGTAATTTGGAAACTGCTTCAATACTACGGAGTACCGCAAACCTTTATCCGCCTCATTCAACAACTATATGAAGATGCCACATGCCAAGTAATCCACAATGGGAAGCTCAGTGATGCCTTTGAAGTGAAGACAGGAGTGAAACAAGGTTGCCTACTATCCCCCATGATATTCCTATTGTGGTGGACTGGATCATGCAGCAAACAGTAGGCAGCGAGAAGAGGGGGATACACTGGACGACGGAAAAGAACCTAGAAGACTTGGATTTCGCCGATGACTTATGCCTAATGTCACATAAACTTGAAGATCTGCAGGCAAAAACTAACAAGTTGACAGAGGAGGCAGCTAAGACGGGACTTCAGGTGAATATAGAGAAGACAGAAGTGATGAAGATACCGCACCACCACCATCAACAACAACAACAAACTCCAATCACCGTCAACGGGAGAAACTTGAAGGAAGTAACCTCCTTCACTTATCTAGGAAGCACTGTTTCAACTACAGGCGGGACGGACGAGGACGTCAAAGTCAGAATCGGAAAAGCAAGACAGGCGTTCATTAGCCTGAAACCAGTGTGGAGATCTTCTGCACTCAGCATGCGGAACAAGATACGGATTTTCAACACCAACGTCAAGTCAGTGCTCTTGTATGGCTCAGAGACTTGGCGCGTCACGAAAGGCATTTCCAATAAACTACAGACATTCATCAACAACTGCTTACGCTCGCTGCTGAAGATCAGATGGCCAGAAAAAATAAGCAACAAGGAACTCTGGGAACGAACCAACCAAGAACCTATCACGCAACAAATATGCAGGAAGAAGTGGAGATGGATTGGCCATGCACTGAGAAGGCCGACTGAGGACATCACGCGTCAGGCCCTCGAGTGGAATCCCCATGGGAAGCGACGAGTTGGACGTCCGAGGGTGACATGGAGGAGGTCATGCGAGGAGGAAATGAGAGCTTGTGGGCTGTCGTGGAACCAGGTTCAAAAGATCTCAGAGAACAGAGGTCACTGGAGGCGTGCTACTGAAGCCCTATGTTCCACTAGGAACCCAAGGGACTAATAATAATAATAATATGGTGGCCTTTACAGTCGCCCGACCTCAAACTTACTCTGAGTATAATTCGGCTGGCTACAAAGCCACCCCAGCCACTGATGATAGCCAACTACATTCCATTATTTTATGGAAAAGTACTCACCCAGGCACAATAACGAGACCTGATTGGTCTATTCACCAGTTGCCAGGGTGGCCATCAAAGTCAGCCCTATTTTAGAATCGACTTTCAACACCATCCCAGCAACAACTGAAATAACCAGTCAAACTACTTTATTTTATGGAAATCTTTATTTCCAGCCCAAATGGAGAAAGCTCATTGGTTATTTCGAACAATAATTAGGATGGCCTCTACAGACGGTCCAATTTTAGAGTGAGTCTAAAGATCGCCCTGGCAACTGCTGAACAGATCAATCAGGTTTCGTCGCTTCGCCTTAGAAAACGCTTTTCTAGAAAACACAGGAATGTTATTGGCACTCACCAGTTTTTGGAGTGGCCTTTAAGGTCATTCCCTAATTTAAATAAAATCTGGAGGAAATAGGAGACTTTAAAGGCCATCATAGTAACAATCGAAATAACAACTTTTGTTTCTCTCTAGAAGATTTGGATTTAATCGATGATGATTTATGTCTGTCGTACAAACACGGTCTACAGGAAAAAACCAACAAGTTGACAGAAGAGACGAGCCAGTGAAGACGGAACTTCCTTCAGGTGAACGTAGAGAAGACAGAAGTGATGAAGACACCCATCCAACAACAAGCACCAATCACCATTAACAGGAGAAATCTAAAGGAAATTGTCTCGTCCACCTACCTACATACCTAGACAGCATCGTTTCAACTACAGGCGGCATAGGTCAAAGCCAAGATAGGAAAGGCAGCAAGACAGGCCTTCCTGTATTAATCTGAAATCTGTGTGAGGATCTACTCCACTTCACTCAGCATAAAGCGTGAAGAACATCCGGATTTTCAACACTAATGTCAAGTCAGTGCTTCTACGTGATGGTTGAGAGACTTGGCGCGTCACAAAAAGCATTTCCAACAATCTACAGATATACATGAATAGGTGCCGCCCACGCTCACTCGACACGGACGACCAGATGACCAGAATAGTAAGAATAAGCAACAAGGATGTGCTAGTGAAGGCCTACGTTCCATGCATGCAATTACACACAATCAGACAGTAGGGTGGGATAGGGCAACAATGTTGAAAAATAACTTAGTTGGGTAGAGGGAGGGAGAGATTGATAACCGAATGTATGTTTATCGAATCAACACTAAACACATGCAATCGAAATGATTCTGCACCTGTCCCAGAAATATGGAAAATTCTACTACCCTTGTCATCACAGAGAAAATTAGGAATATATAAAGTTTGTCTCGAAGTTGTGGACAATACATTGTGTTCGAAACATTGTTATCCCGTAAATGATACTGTTCCAGTGTGGGACATATCTAATAAACAGACTAAAATGGATTTACAATCGACCACAGTGCCCAAGTTTTACTCTTATACAGATGATTTCATGTATAGAAAATGCGACAATCCACACTAGTTGGCTTCACTTAACACTTAATTATGTCATAACCATGAATAGTACATAAATTACCCAGAGGTCAATAAAAAGCTCTTGAGAAGAGTTAAGTTTTAACTAGAACCTCTGCCAAAATAAATAAGATAACCGGTTATGCTTATCTAAAATTCATGTACGCTTCTTTCTTCACTTGGTGTATCAGGAATGCATCAGTCGAATTGTAAGTAAATCTTTATGGAAATTGACTATGCAGATGAATAGTATAATAGTGATCCTACTACTTGATTGCTTAAACCTCAAAGAGAGGGGGAGTGGGCCTCAAACACGTGACCCACTGGTTGAATGTCAACTCCATAAACCAATGATGCAGTAATAAGAAAACCAATAGTCGAAAACATACATAAATGAACAACTGCATAAGAATGATGAGGACAAAGGTATCTCGAAGTCTGATAAACTCATGTCGACGCATGCAACAGCCATCCGTTGAGTTCTACCATAGGGTTGAGTTAGACTTCCTGACTAAAATATTGAAAAAATCCATTTACACAAATTAACAGTCAGGCAGCGTCAAATCATGGACAGGAAGTTATTGCTTGCCGGTACCAATGTTAAAGAAAACCTTTTTTTTCCCGTGGAAACTCCATCACTCCTCATTTTACCATCAGAAGCAGGACAGAAAACGAGTGACAAAAAAAACATCAATGCATGACGTTAAGTGTGTAAAAATCACTTCAGGTCTCCTATTTACTATCTGTCAAATGAATTAAATCGATTTATCTAAAGAACAGATGATTTCCTGTCGAATGAGCATCAATATCGCTAGCTGACTAATGTTAACTCCTTATTTTCATGAAAACTCCAAATCTTTAGTGATAGTGATAACTGAGACACTCTCATCGTAGCGTTATTCAAACCCCACTATCGATATACTACAGTACTAGTCAATGGTTCACAGTCCTGTCCAACAGATACTATCCATCTCTGTAGCATATTTCACTCTTCAATATTCAAACAAAAATAAATTGGATTATATTACGACAAGAAGAAATCCCAAATTTGTCTTTATATTGTATTTACACTTTGATATACAAACTACTGAAATAGTTTGTAAGTAGTATAAATAAAAATAAAGATATAAAAAGAAATTACAAAAGTGAATTATCTCTAGTTAGTTGTTTTGAAAAACATACCACAACGATGTTCAGTTATATTACAAAATATGTATGAAAATAACTTAATTTGTTGCTAACCAGTGGATTTTACATTTGCTTCAACATGATCTCCATCACGAGTAGTAGTGGTAAATGTATGAAATACAATAATATTTGATGTTAAACGAGAGATTAAGGCGTCCACCTCCTCATTACCCAATTCTTTATTCCATAATGATCGTAAAAACTGATTGACTTGATGCTCGAACTCACCAGGCATTTGACAACCAGGCAATAAATGGTCAGATTTTTTGTACAATTTTCTGGTGAACTTCAATTGGCATGTAGAAAAAGAGTAAATATTTAAGTGAAATATAATTTTGAAATATTTGTAGTGTTTACTAAGATTTTATATTTCATCTTAGATGTCTCATTTACAGGTTTGGTGATGTCTTTGACAATCACTCTGTACTAACGTGATCGGATGAAATGTAAGATCAAAGAGGTGAAGGTATGATTATAAAAAAATCTCTTCTCTAACTTTCGATTGGAAAGCATCCAAGGTCACCACCACCAGGACGCTTGGTGATGAGACGTCTGCGAAGAATTGTCTAATCTCAGAGAACACTACCAACATCCTGAGCTATAAAACTTTAAAATAACTTTAGAATATTATTCTAAATACAGATAACACTGCTGCTGGTGGTGGTGGTGTTTGCATATAACCATATCTACTAAGAAGTAGAGGAGTTCGGTAGAATAGCTTTAAGATTGTAGTAATCTTAAAAATTATTTGGTTGAAATATGATAGTAAATTGATGTTTTACGAAACATACTACTCACTGAAACGAGTAGTCGTAGATTACTCTCATATCGATTAACAGTACTTGCAAGCCAGATAAAAGTAGTCCGAACATCGGAGGCCTGTTTCCCTCATTACTTGTGTACCCGTGTATTGATTTAATTCAGCTCAAAAAGTCGAATTGTTCAAAATAAGCGAATTCTGGATAGATACTTGAAGGAACAGGTCAGTTATGTTTAGAATCAAACTAGGTGTTTGCAAAAATCTCAAGTCTATGGTAAGAAATCCCACCGTAGTTTCCAATAAAAATGAAAATATTCACATAACATATAGTAATCTAGTCGGTAACACAATCGACACGAAGACTGTAGTCAAAAAAAAGCTGTAAATAATACGTCTACTGATGCTTTCTTCTAACTAGATAGACATTAGTTACACCAGCTAAGAAAGATACAACTAATAAGCACTCAAATCGTCCACTATCTTGCGCATACATGTGAGACAGTTTCAATAAGGAATATCCAACAACGGAATAAGTAGTATTCTACACACCGAGTTAATGGACCAATGATCGCAATAAACTGAAACACGTATATATCTGTTGAAACAAAATTCATGTGGAACCGTAACATTGACCTGAAAATCTCAATAATGGATAACAGTTAGCAGTAGAATCTAGGATACGCGTCTCGTCCTATTTAAGATTCATCATCTGGATGTATCTGCCTTCTAGTTAGCAATGTTGTTCCCACACAGACTCGAACCAAAAAGTGATCGACTCCATCCGCTAATAATCAACAATAGATGAATGCAATTCAACCCGGTACATTCCTACATACTACTAGACTATGAGTGACAAATGTGTAAGATGTTTACGATAATCACCTAGTTGACCAGTTAGAAAAAAGCAAGTGGATCTCTCTTCTCTTACTGACAGATACAGATGTAATTGCTGAATAATAGTGTGATGTGATTTTCTTGTTCATGTACACATTCACTTTTTCCCATTGGCTGATTGATATCTGTTTACATACGTTAGTTATTATTCTCGCTGTTTTTAGGCTATTACAAGAAATATAGATGAAAGTGTTGTTATCACCACTCTTGGTGTGCACCATCAGTTATGACTTCATTACAAATAATCCCGTAGAATTGAATTAGTATACGAATATCAGTGATACTTTCGATACCTGGTTTTGTGGAAATGAGCATCTATTACGAGTTGATATTTATGATGTAGGATGATGTTCGGAAAGTTAGTCTGCTGCTTCACGAACTCCACTCAACCGAACTAGACAATTACTACACAATATGAACCATCTAACAACCTATCGCCGAACAAATATGCAGAAGAAAGTGGAGATGGATCGGCCATACACACTGAGGAGACCATTCGGGGACATCACGAGCGAGCCAGGTCAGGACCTCGAGTGGAACACAAGTGGGAAATGATGAACTGGGCATCCAAGGGTGACATAGAGGTGGTGTGAGGAAGAAATGACAGCTTATGGGTAGTCGTGGAGCCAGATGAAAAGACTCCTGCTGCCGCTGTTGCTGCTACTACTGAAGCCCTATGTTGCATTAGGAACCCAAGAGACAAATAATGGTAATAACACCTAAGACTTCCAACTGTTCATTTATAACATCTCAAGAACTCCTGATTAAGTAATCTACAGCTTATGATATGACTTAAATCAACAGACCCTATGATGATGAAGTAACTTTTGTGTCTCAAGCAGTAAGCCACACATTTATCTCACTAGGACTCATGATACTACCTGACTCTGCTTAAACTTCTATAGGTCTGGTCAAGCTTACTGGTTGAAAGTTGACTGATCAGACAAATATGTGAAAGCTTACTTAACCCATCAATATTCTTTTAACTGCAATAACTGTAGTCAACACTACATTGGATAAAGTGGTCGCCCTCTTCACCTTCGTTTACATGAACACAAATTCGCTATTGAACGTCACACATGACATTCCATCACTCATCTCAATCCACGTGGATAACAACCATGGAGATGAATTGCATTTTGACAATGTAGAAATCTTGGAGTGAGAGGAAACACGGAGGATTTCTAGAAGCTTCGCATTCACCTCAGTCAGTCAGTCAATCAGTTAGTCAGCAATCAATAGGTGTATAGACAGACATAGACCCAATCTATCCAATCAAGGAGAAAAATGACAAACAACAGAAAGGCCAGAGGTTAAGCAGAGGAACAGCCAACAGGAAAATCTATGCAGTCAGTCAATGATACAACAATCGAAGGAAACAACCAATCACAAACCAGTTGGTCTCACCAAACTACTAAATCACTCGTAGAGAGGATATTGACAGCTCACTTCATACTGAAGTTAGTGCTGATGATGTCACTGTCTAGAAAGACGATGAAAGCTTCGCGATAAAACAACCCAACTCAGAGAATAGAATTCGATTAGGACCGTTCACCTGAGCTGCAAATATTCTCCATCATCTCAAAGTCTCTTAACCAACCTCAACAAATATGTTCTTCAGTTCATCTTACACAAACAAACAACAATCATAACAGTAATTCGGCTTACCTGACAATGAATGTTTTTGATAAACTTATCAAAAGGACAGAATTCGGATAAATAGAATTTTCTACATCAGTATAACCATGAAAGAGTAGGACAATATCAGCTGGTAGTAGATCAATTGACATGAAATGAAAACACCGGGTACCAGATTGATACAATTTGATAAGTTGATTGTCTAAATCCAATTTCATTTCATCAATCTATATGTATTTACAGATAAATAAACAAGAAAAACGTAGAGGGAAATCGAAACATTCACAGACACAGATATTTCGGCAGTAATGTGTATTATTATTATTCGTACCTTGCGTTCCTAGTGGAACATACGGCTTCAGTAAGCACGTCGCCATTTCACTCTCTTCTCTACAGTCTTCTCAACCTCGCTCCACGATTACCCACAAGCTTTCATTTCTTCATCATATCATCATCGCCATGTCACCCTCACCTCGGACGACCAACTCGTCGTTGCCCCTTTGCACTACACTCAAGGGCCTCGCCTGGCCTGGCCTAGCCTGATGCGTGATGTCCCCAATCAGTCTTCTCAGTGTATGCCCAATCCATCTTCACTTTGTCCAGCATATTTGTTGGGCGATGATAGCTTCTTCGTTGGTTCGTTCACAGAGTAGAGTTCTTTGCTCCTTATTTTTTCTGGCCATCTCATCTTCAGTGTTAATATCGAGTGAGCGTAGGCGGCAGCTGTTTATGAATGTCTGTAGTTTGTTGGAAATGCTTGTCGTCACCCACCAAGTCTCTCAATCATTACATAGAAGCACTGACTTACTTGATTCACATTACTGTTGGAAATCCGGATGTTGTTCACCCTTTATGCTGAGTGCAGTTCGGTGCAGTGCAGTAGATCTCCACACAGATTTCAGATTAGTACAGGAAGGCCTGTCTTGCTGCCTTTCCAAATCTTCTTCCGGTGTGTTTTCATCGGTCCAGCCAGTGTATGTCCATCTTCTCACTCGGTAGTAATATTAGGGCGACTTTAAATGCCAGCCTAGGCAAGTGATAAGACAGCTAATCATATTCCTTTATTTTATAGAAAAGTACTCTTTAAGGCGAAATAGCGAAACTTGATTGATCTATTTAGCAGTCGCTAGGGCGGCCTTTAAATTCACTTTAATATTACACAAAATGTAGGCAACATAAAATGAAACAATAGGCCACGGAATCAAGACTTACTCCACCTATCGAAGTTAGAGTAGTCAGGTTGCATCGCCACCCATCACACATACACACACACACCAGATGTGACTGATTACCTACTGCACGAACGTGTATTTCGATTCGACTAATATAACCTGAGTACATGTTGTTATAACCATGATTTCTTTATCTCAAGTGTTGATAATACCACACTCACATTTACCTCCTTACTAGATGTACTCGGTTACTAGATTACGATAAAATTCTTTTACATTAATGACTTTGTTTATCTCACATACTCGTGGTTTAGTAGACTTGTTTTATTATGGATACTGGGGTGATGACTGAAGATGAAATGAAAATCTGGATCACAGCAGGATGCGAACATGTAACTTCCAGGTTAGCGGTCCAGTGTTCTATCAACTAAGTTAAGAAACACAGTGACCAACGCGATTTTAAATTCACTTCAGCTAACAAGGATTTTTCCATGAATGTCATGTCAATTTGTCAATTAAGTGGTTTTTTTGTCTGTGATTAACCACTGGTCTCTCTCAAATGGTCTCAAGCTAGACCCTTCTAAATATCAGACTACTAATTTCAGCCTAAGCGTAAAAATGACTTTTGTAGGCTGCTTAAGTCTCATGACACCTATTGTATTGATAGTATTGGTGTAGGAAGCAAATCGAGTGTTACCTATCTTGGATTGAGATTTACTTCTGGCATTTGCTCTTCATCTCATATTTTGTTGACATCTAGGAAAATTTTGTGTTCAACGTATCACATAGGGAAGCTGAGACTCTCTGGTATAACTCAAACTGTACTTTTAAACGTTATTAATTGCTGCATTTTATTTATGTTTCTCTATTGTTCCCTGATGATCTTTCCCGGTCTACTGAGAAAAAGAGGACTGTTATAAGTTTGCGTAGAGCTTCTGTGGTTCAGTGGATTCACACTGTAATTGAAAGACATTTAAATTCTAGCTGGCAACTAGCTACAATGATTTTAACTGACACAGCATCCACTTCATTCACACCTCATTCTTTGCATCTCCTCAGTGAGGACAAGAAGAAATTACATCAGAGTGTACTGTCGTACAGCTGTATACAACAATTCAACTGTGCCTTAACCTAGTACACATGTTAGGTGAGGAAATAACAATGAATAATCAGTTTTTTCAATATTTTAACTAATAATCTAAAATATTCTACGTTATTATTATTCTTTACATGATTAAAATTATTATATTCACACAATTCGAAATATCCCCATATCTCTGTTGTACTTATTATAACTATTACCACAGTTACTCTTAAAGTGGTCTGATGTCGTCGTAAAGTAGAAATTATGCTGAAACTAGTAAATCCTCAGATAAACTACTCAACTGAACTACACCATTTGAGGCGAACTGTATAGGTGTTCCAAATCCTACACCTTCGCCTACCACCATGTCCCACGTTAACCAGCTAAGAAGTCGATTTGAGTACGGTTAAAAGTGTCTCGACTAACAGGTGGAAATAGGTCATAAGGTCTGTGAAAATTGTATCGAACGATATCGAGAGATATAGACAAACCGGTAGCGTTCATCGAAGTAACAAGCATCATAAGCTGCATACCCGTTGCAAACATCTTTACACTTTATTTCTTTATACAGATATTTACCCTCCTCAATAACAATTTTACTGTACCTCACCTAGTTACATACTTCACTAGTTACTAGCAGCTCCTAAGCCCGGATAAAGAGGGAAGGTTGGGCATAGAGCTAGCAACCCTAACCCGGAAAACCAATCCAACCGATAAAGAAACTTAAATGCACAGACGAAATATAAAACATAAAAACAAACTTATTCCTCACTGGAATCGCGTAGACGAAATGATACCAGTTGATGAAAGCCTTCGGGAAGCCAGTCGGCCGATGCATCTTCTCTTCTCTCGATGAAAGCGAAAGTAAGCATGGAGGTATGGAATGTCCGCACCATGTTTGAAACTGGCTGGCAAGGCTAACCAGATTGCAAAACAGATGAGAAGATATGGCATAGAAGTGTTAGGCTAGTAATCTGCGAGAGCAGATGGAATGGAAGTGGACTCTCCAAACTGTCAACTGGAGAGTCAATAATCTACTCCGATATTGTCACCCAGACTACAATCACAAACACACTGAGTTTTGGAGTGGCTATCATGATGTCCTAAACAGCATCAAAGGCTCACAGGCAGTGGGAACTAATCTCCTCCACGATCAGGATCATGACAGCAAGACTCAAATCAAAACGAAGGACAGTTACGACCATACAATGCTACCCTACGCACCTACAAATAATGCAGATCAATAGAAGGAGGAGGAATTCTAAAAACAACTGCAATCAGTATTGGACAAGACCCCAGAAGACGATGGAGACATCAAAATTCTAATGGGTGAGGTGACATGAATGCCAGACTGCGAACAGACAACACACAAAGAGAACTCATCATTGGTTGAGAGGCACTCGGTGAAATGAATGAAAATGGAGAACTGTTCGCAGACTTCTCCACATTCAATCATTTGGTGATTCCAGGCAATATGCACTAACACAAGGATATTCACAAAGCAACATCGATTTCACCAGATGGACACACTAAAAACCCGCCGACTTCATCTCAATCACAAGAAAGTGGAGACACAGTCTACTACACACAACATCACGAGGGGGAGCAGATGTAGGCTCATACCACTCACTATCTACTTCATAGAACCTACCTTCAAAATCTAGTTGAAAGCCTTCAAAGAAGTTCGCGATAGACCACAGTTCAAGTTCAACAACCAGAACATAAACTCAAGGACAAAACTACAAAGGAAATCTTCACGTCAGTCAGCCGTCAAGACAAACTGGCAGATATCCAGCAACATCCCTGAACAAACCTGTGTGGATGAGCACTAGAACTCGTTGAAAGAGATGTCGAAAGAAACCTGCATAACCATATTACGACGAAAGAAGAAAGAAGATAAGGAATGGATCTCGACGGACACATGGAAGCTGATAGAGCAGGCAGAGGAGGATGGTGAAGCAGAAGATAAATCAGTGCAGTGCAAGGACGAACAACGAAACGAGGAACTGAACACAACATATAAAACACTCGACAAAGAAGTGAAGAAGAGTGCACGCAAAAACAACAGACACTTCTACAACACACTGGCAAGTGAAGCAGAACGGGCTGCAGGTAGCAGAGACACAGACCTGACAACACTACATCAAATAACCGAGTTACTATCTGTGAGGGGAGAGATCAACACAGATGAAACCAATGAAAGACAGTGAACGAAACCTAGTTAGCAAAGAGGCGAAACAAAGGAAACAGTGGGCTCACCACTTCACCACCACCTGCAACTCGTCCAGAAATACCATCAGCAGCCCAACCAAACAACTACCAGTGAACACAAGCCCTCCGACAAAAGACAAAGTCCTCAATGCCATAACGTTGCTGAAATCCGGGAAGCAGCACGACCACAAGGAATTCGTCAGAAACACTGAAAACAAATCCACAGACAACAGTGGACATCCTCACACCACTACTGAACAAGGTTTGCAAGAAAGAAAGCAGAGGTACCTGCCTATTGATTGGAACAAGGGATACCTTGTCAACAAACTCACACAGAACGGAGACCTAACTCTTCGCAAGAATTAATGGGGAATCATACTCCTGTCTCTGTCCACCCCAAGCAAAACACTAGGCCGCATCATACCGGAGAGAATAAACAACGCCCTCGACTCAAAATTACCACCGAAACAGGCTGGCTGGCTGGCTGGCTTCAAGAAGAACAAATCAAGCGCTATACTACTCTTGCAACGCTATACTACGCATCATCATAGAAAAGAATATAGAGTAGCAGTAAACTCTTCACCTCAACTACATCGACTTTGAAAACGCCTTCGATCCACACGTCGACCGAGAAGTAATTTGGCTGGCAGTTGCTTCAACACTAGGCTTCCAGTGCCACAAATCTTTATCAGCCTCATTCAACATCTATATGCTTTATGATGCTACATGCCAAGTGATCCACAATCGAAAGCTCAGTGGCGCCTTTGAAGTGAAGACAGGAGTAAGACAAGACAGCCACCTACTATCGCCCATGATCTGCCTGATTGTGGTAGACTGGATTATGCAACAGACAACTGTGAGGAACAAGAAGAGGGGCACACGCCGGCTGGACCGATGAAAAGACACCGGAAGAAGATTTGGATTTCGCCGATGATCATTTATGTCTAATGTCCTACCGCACAAACTCGAAGATGTACAGCGAAAAATCAACAAGTTGACAGAAGAGACGAGCCAGTGAAGACGGAACTTCCTTCAGGTGAACGTAGAGAAGACAGAGGTGATGAAGATACCCAACCAACAACAACATCAACAACAAGCACCAATCACCATTAACGGGAGAAATCTAAAGTAAGTAGTCTCTTTCACCTACCTAGGCAAGGCAGCATCGTCTCAACTACAGGCAACGGCACAGGCATAGAGATGAGGATATCAAAGCCAGTATCGGAAAGGCAGCAGGACAGGCCTTCCTGTATTAATCTGAAATCTGTGTGGAGATCTACTGCACTGCACTGCACTGCACTGTACTGTACTGTACTGTACTGAACTGCACTCAGCATAAAGGGTGAAGAAGATCCAGATTTTCAACAGTAATGTGAATCAAGTAAGTCAGTGCTTCTATGTGATGATTGAGAGACTTGGTGGGTGACGACAAGCATTTCCAACAAACTACAGACATTCATAAACAGCTGCCGCCTACGCTCACTCGATATTAACACTGAAGATGAGATGGCCAGAAAAAATAAGAAGCAAAGAACTCTACTCTGTGAACGAACCAACGAAGAAGCTATCATCGCCCAACAAATATGCTGGATAAAGTGAAGATGGATTGGGCATGCACTGAGAATACCGATTGGGGACATCACGCGTCAGGCCAGGCCCTTGAGTGTAGTGCGAAGGGACAACGATGAGTTGGTCGTCCGAGGTGAGGGTGACATAGAGAAGATGATGTGAGGAAGAAATGAAAGCTTGTGGGTAATCGTGGAGCGAGGTTGAGAAGACTGTAGAGAAGAGAGTGAAATGGCGACGTGTTTACTGAAGCCGTATGTTCCACTAGGATCCCAAGGGACAAATAATAATAATAATATAAATTTTTTTCCGACTCTCTTGTTCTCTGAATGTGGACATGAACTTTGGCTAATTTAATCGATGCACCTGTATGCCAGATTGTTCTACGATGGTTTATCTATTTGTATAAAATAAGGGGCTATGTGCGTGTATGATTTATAGCTGTCGGGATTTAAAAGTAAACATTGAAGAAAGAAGAAAAAAGACGCAGGTTCAACTATCCTGCGGACAGTTAGTTCCGTAGAACGTGAAGATACACCTTTCTCATGAGTACCAGAAAGTATGGATCTTGCGTAAAGTAGAGCTTCCTGCCGAATGACTCCATGCAATTAATATCGCGATTCTGAACCTCTCAGCCTGGAGGCTGCATTGCAGAATAATCGATAGGATTCGATCAGCACTTGGGACTAGACAACATGAAACTGGTCACGCTCCCAGTGAATAATCAATTTAGATAAGACACCGTTGAAGAACAAAAACACTAACTAACCTTTTGTTTATTTAAGGAAGCTAATTGATAAGATCCTAGTACTGGACAGGAATGTGTATCATTTGAGAAGTATTCCCGACTGACTAATTGACCAAGACGTGAAATGAAACTCTGAAATAATACACTATTTTTGTCCTTATTATTTGAATGTTGCCTAGACTGACTGCCGACTGGTTGTATACAACGATTTACTAAAAGGAGAACTACAGGAGGAATCCTTTCATGAGAAGTCAACGAAGAGGTATATCCCTGATTTGTAGATCTACAAGAAAAGAACGCGCATATATAAGACGATTAGAGACATATTTAGGCTAAAAGAAATGATAGCTAACTAGTCTTTAAACAAAAAATGATTAGAAACAACTTTATTATTTGTCCCTTGGGTTCTTAATGGAACATAGGGCTCCAGTAGCGTGTCGCCACTCATTTCGCAGAGTGCCTCTCAACCAATGATGAGTTCTCTTTGTGTGTTGTCTGTTCGCAGTCTGGCATTCATGTCACCTCACCCATTAGAATTTCGATGTCGCCATCGTCGTCTAGGGTCTTGTCCGATACTGATTGCAGTTGTTTTTAGAATTCCTCCTCCTTCTATTGATCTGCATTATTTGTAGGTGCGTAGGGTAGCATTGTATGGTCGTAACTGTCCTTCGTTTTGATTTGAGTCTTGCTGTCATGATCCTGATCGTGGAGGAGATTAGTTCCATTGCCTGTGAGCCTTTGATGCTGTTTTCGACATCATGATAGCCACTCCAAAACTCAGTGTGTTTGTGATTGTAGTCTGGGTGACAATATCGGAGTAGATTATTGACTCTCCAGTTGACAGTTTGGAGAGTCCACTTCCATTCCATCTGCTCTCGCAGATTACTAGCCTAACACTTCTATGCCATATCTTCTCATCTGTTTTGCAATCTGGTTAGCCTTGCCAGCCAGTTTCAAACATGGTGCGGACATTCCATACCTCCATGCTTACTTTCGCTTTCATCGAGAGAAGAGAAGATGCATCGGCCGACTGGCTTCCCGAAGGCTTTCATCAACTGGTATCATTTCGTCTACGCGATTCCAGTGAGGAATAAGTTTGTTTTTATGTTTTATATTTCGTCTGTGCTTTTAAGTTTCTTTATCGGTTGGATTGGTTTTCCGGGTTAGGGTTGCTAGCTCTATGCCCAACCTTCCCTCTTTATCCGGGCTTAGGACCGGCTAGTGAACTAGTAAACTAGGCGAGGTTGATTAGAAATAATCAGTCCCCTTTACGTATTTACATAGTCCAATTAGAAGACGAAGTTTATTTGAACAATGATAACACATTTCATATAAAACACGAAAGATGGGAGGTCAAAGAGAACAACTAAGTTTTGAGGGAGTTATGGGGATTTGGAACAATTAAGATAATAGGAGGATTAAATTTAAGAAAGATGAGAACAAAAAGGGAAGGGTGACATCATAGTTGATCCTAATCTTGGTAAGAAACAAAATTTACCAAGGTAGGTGGGTAGTGTAAGAACAACCTGTTTTTCTACTAACCAAAACACTTCTGAAAAACGGATATCCGTTGTAGTTTATCAATCGTTGTAGAAGTCAGGTAGCTCAAAAGCCAACTCTATACACAGTTCCTAAGATAAGGGTCTATATTCATTCACCATACAGAGAATATAATTCTGAGACGTAGGATAACATCAACCATTAAGAAAGCAGAATGACGAAGCTAATCTTATTATTGTAGAGTAAACAGAACACAGGCTTCACCACAAACCTAAATAATGTATGAATGATTACGTCTGTGTGTTTACCCGTTACATATATATATATATATATATGTACGATCAAACATACACAAGGAAGAGTAATGAAGTCATGCAGCTGAGGGTGGGAGAACATGTACCGAAATGACTTCAAAAACAAACGGAGTGTGAAACCGTGATAAACGCTGGTAGGAGACGACTATCTCCATCTATAGCTGAACCTATTGTAGAAGGGGTCACAAAATTAATGTCTAAACAGCTTTCGAAGTTTTACATAGAAACAGTCAGGGACGCACACTGAGATTCGAGGAGGCGATAGCCATAAGAAAATTGAAACCACCTTTGTGTACATTGGTAAATGTGATTTTCATATCAAGATTAGGATCAACTATGTCAATCTCCTTTTTTTTGTTCTTATCTTTCTCAATTTCAGTTCCCTATCGTCTCAATTTTTCTATTTATCCTTCCATCCTTCGTGTTTTAAACAGAACGAGAACAACAGCATCAACAGAATAACATGGTTTCATTTCGATTCGCAGTTTTTCATCAGCTGCTTACAACCTAAGCCAATTTTAACATCAGTGTATTTTGAGGTCAACAGGACTTTCATTCCCAAGTTAGTACTCATCATTGACTGACATCAATAACAGTACAAACCAGGCCAAGGAGTCGTATACTAGGAAGAAACAGATGCCTGGTGCTCTCAGGTTTTTCAATGGCTCTCCAACTGGTGTCAGTCAACATAAACTTACTTAGATATTTGCATACTTCAATCACTTTGACAGAAAAATTATCAACTTGAATAAGAGGTAGAGATAACAAAGATATGACGTCATTGAAAACACATGAATTGAGCGGATAAATATGCAGAACTAACAGTAAGTCTTAATATCACACAAGAAGTGGCTATCGTGACTCAATGGTCAAATGGATAACGTCCTAGCGTTTGAAACGATCGGTCCCAAGTCCGAGTCCTAGTGGGAGGCAGGTACACCCAGCTGATGAAATCCGAAAAGGACAAAATGCGCATCCTAGATACCACTGCTAGCCACACTATTTACCAATAATAATGGTAGGTTTGCCAATTTATAGAAAGATTAGACAAATATTCTATAGTGGAAGTTGGATAAGAGGCGGAGAAAAATGCTTTCAACAACAAAAAGTCGAAAATAAACAAATAAAGGAACTTGTATGAATCGACAATAATATGTATAACAGTAGGATATTATCAACAAAACAAAAGGTACGTGAAAGATATTTATGTGACCACAGAGACAATTGGACATCTGCCTCAGGCATATCACACGAAGTATTTTGAGTATCATCATTTTGAACTTTTGTTGTTTCGAAACTGGATGGTCGAAAAGAAACGACAAATAAACCAACACCACCGGCCCCGCAGATCGTGGGGAATGGTAGAGTATGTTATTTTTGGGACCGACCTTTTCTAACCCCACCACACCCCATCCCGCCTTCCATTGACAAGGCAGCATCAGCATGGCACTGCTGGTCATCCAAGAGAAACACCTTACTCCTGTCACACCCCATCCAACTAGCAGCAGTACGACTTCGCCCTCACCCCCTCCCCACCCATCATAGTGTAGTAATTTACATCACAACGCTAACTGCTTTTCGTCTAACCACTATCCAACAGACCTTTCTGGTATGGTAGGACCTCGAGGAGACAAGTGTTGCACCAGCATAGCTCGTTGGATCATTGTGATATACAAGTCCGTCCACCACGTCAAGGAAGCAGCTATCGGTCGGGAACAAAACAAAAGTCTTCACCATAACAGACTGATAAACTCTGTCTCTTTCTGAACACCAAAGTACGGTTTCAATCGTTCAATGACTAACGCTTCAACAAAATGCAACAACTTCGAATTCATCTGTTTATTAACTATTTTGAACAATTTCTGTATATCAACTTTGAGTCCAATATCCATAAGGTGACGAGTAATAAGACTGTTGAAGACTTTTCCACCTTGCAGTACCAAATTCCTTGGAATATGCTCTAACATACGATCACAAACCCTTCGTTCGATTCGTTCAATGTGTATACTCTTTGGCACGTATATGTGGATTGGTACGTGCAGCTTTATATGGAAATGCGTGATTAGATTGTTCGAAATGTGTACTGCATAAATAAATCCAACATTAGTCAGATAACTTACATCTTCTAATTACACTATCTAGAGAAAGGGGTTAGCTAGTGTACTAGAGAAAACAGAACGTAATTGAGTTTGTAAATTGGTACATTGAGAATTAGTGAACGAGTAACTGCAAAGGTTTCTTCGTTCGAATCCTTTCAGGAGCGATAATACGTTTCAGGAAATCCAAAAATTGCGTCATAGAATTTCACCTTCTTTTCCCTATACCCTTTTATACTTTGCGTAAACTGCTTACATTTTCCGCCCTATATGACACTACTCTCCCGTAAGCTTTTCTTCAGTTTCCAATATGTTATTTGTTTTGTCTTCACTAAGTATAAAACGATCATATTGTAACAATAATCGGTGATCATCCCCGATTGAAGTAAATTTCTTCAGCTAAATGACAGTCGTTGTCTGTGCGGTTTTACTTGACACAGAATGAGGAGGATTAAAACAAGAATCATTTATCCGTCTAATATACGATTGCATTCTGTTAGATTATTAAGACTTCATCGTCTTTCTAGATAGCGACATCATCAGCACTTCAGTATGAGGTCTAGAAGGACGATGAAAGCTTCACGATTAAACAACCCAGCTCCTCAGAGAATACAATACAACCAAAACTATCCACCTGAGCTACAAATATTCTCAACTAGATTATGTGCCGATAACGTCTGAAGGTGCTGAAAACCATACCAATGCGAAAAACACTTTAAAATCTATTCACAGTCAGTAGTTAAGATTTTATGAAAGTTGAAAAACAATAGCAGATAGGTATTCCAAAGAGGTAATATCTCCTTGAGAAAGTGTCGAGACACTATCGTCCATTAGGCATAGCAGATCAATTTAAAGAAGCTCTTGTTCACCAAATTTTTGACCCACACAACAAAGTAACAATTAAGCGTTTCAACATATGTGCATACACTTTCTCCAACTCCATACCACACTGAAGAGAATCAATTCATTTCCATGCCTAACTTACTCCAGCATTTATTTCAGTTTTGTTGTTGTTTAGACGCAACAACAGGAGTGTGAGAACAATTTGTGAATATGAGTATTTAATAGATTGTGAGAAATCGATTATCTTTTCAAACCAATCAAATACCTGGATTAACTTAGAACTCCCAATTGTCTTTCATTGAACTACATGAATACAACTAGCCAAAAACAACACCACATATAACTGTCAGATTTGACTCAACAATATAGAAGGCAATAAACTTGGGAAAAATATCTCCTATTTATTCAAAAGACTGGCGTTATTATATTATTACTTTTCCCTTGGGTTCCTACTGGAACATACGGCTTCAGTAAGCACATCACCATTTCACTCTCTTCTCTACAGTCTTCTCAACCTCGCTCCACGATTACCCAAAAGCTTTCATTTCTTCCTCACATCATCTCCATGTCACCCTCACCCTTGAAGGCGGCAGCTGTTTATGAATGTCTGTAGTTTGTTGGAAATGCTTGTCGTCACCCACCAAGTCTATCAATCATCACATAGAAGCACTGACTTACTTGATTCACATTAGTGTTGAAAATCTGGATCTTCTTCACCCTCACGCTGAGTGCAATGCAGTGTAGTGCAGTAGATCTCCACACAGATTTCAGATCAATACAGGAAGGCCTGTCTTGCTGCCTTTCCGATACTGGCTTCGATATCCTCATCTCTATGCCTGTGCTGCTGCCTGTAGTTGAAACGATGCTGCCTTGCCTAGGTAGGTGAAAGAGACTACTTCCTTTAGATTTCTCCCGTTAATGGTGATTGGTGCTTGTTGTTGATGCTGTTGTTGGTTGGGTATCTTCATCACCTCTGTCTTCTCTACGTTCACCTGAAGGAAGTTCCGTCTTCACTGGCTCGTCTCTTCTGTCAACTTGTTGATTTTTGGCTGTACATCTTCGAGTTTGTGAGGCAGGACATTCGACATAAATGATCATCGGCGAAATCCAAATTTTCTTCCGGTGTCTTTTCATCGGTCCAGCCAGCGTGTGCCCCTCTTCTCGTTCCTCACAGTTGTCTGTTGCATAATCCAGTCTACCACAATCAGGCAGATCATGGGTGATAGTAGGTGGCAGTTTTGTCTTACTCCTGTCTTCACTTCAAAGGCGCCACTGAGCTTTCGATTGTGGATCACTTGGCATGTAGCATCATATAGCATATAGGTGTTGAATGAGGCTGATAAAGATTTGTGGCACTGAAAGCCTAGTGTTGAAGCAACTGCCAGCCAAATTACTTCTCGGTCGACGTGTGGATCGAAGGCGTTTTCAAAGTCGATGTAGTTGAGGTGAAGAGTTTACTGCTACTCTATATTCTTTTCTATGATGATGCGTAGTATAGAGTTGCAAGAGTAGTATAGCGCTTGATTTGTTCTTCTTGAAGCCAGCCAGCCAGCCAGCCTGTTCCGGTGGTAATTTTGAGTCGAGGGCATTGTTTATTCTCTTCGGTATGATGCGGTATAATATTTTGCTTGGGATGTAGAGGAACAGGAGCAAGATTCCGCGCCAGTTCTTGCAAAGACTTACGTCAGACGTACCTAAGGGTATATCCATCGGTACATCATGCAAGTTTTAATCGGAACAGTGACAGTAGGCCTCCCCTATGGGATACCACTAGTTGTCATCAGTTCAGATGACAACTCTCCATAAGCTGTTACACAGCTATATAAGTTTGAGTAGTCAAACAACAGGTGTGAATCATCATCTATTGAACGTGGTTGCTGAGTTACATTTCCATTTTGATTTTGCTTTTTTGCCTTGCGTAATGCGTGTATAGCAGACCATGTCCCAGTGGCTGAATACTGAGTAGTCAGATTATAAAGCCTTTCTCTATTGGTCCGAGTTGTGCAGGAGAAGCTGATACGAGAATTAAGGACCTATACTTTAAAATCGAATGCATTAGTGAAGATGCATCAATGCCTCATTCTTCTTTTGTATTTTCTTCAGAGTTTACTGTATTCCTAAACTTTTCTTCCAATATCTATTTCTTTATACTAGCTGATTTTTTCTGTTGTTCAGCTACTCAAACTCGACCATTGAAAGTAGAAGAGGTTACAGACTTTGACCATAGTTGTTTTAGGAACATCGCTTACGTGTGTTAGGATCACCAAGTGAACAATGTAGGGGTCAGACGAATGGTTCTAAACGAAGAAGGCAGGTCAGCAAGTGAGGTTGGGGACTTTCATAGATTTATGTGGCTTGTGCACGCCGAGCTACAGCCTATTTCGATGTACATTACTAGAAGTTGCATTAGGTTGGAAATTGGATCAGGGGTGACAGATCAAGACGTGTTTGAGCCATATTTGGAAGTGTAGACTACATGGCTAGGGTCCTTGAGAGGATAGGAATCAATGGTTGAAGATCATTGATGATACGTCGAAAAATCAGTCACAATGGTGCAGATTTATTGACTCTATAACATCTTCCAAAAGGCTGAACATTTGCACTAACCATTATTTCTAAATTCCTTTTCCTCCCCATACAACCTTATCTGCCCGAATATCACCTTGTATTCATTTGTTGTTTGTATGCTGCTGTGAAGTGTAGCAACATGAACTGAAGCATGAGTGTGCCCGGTTCTACAATGACTTTTATTGGCTTGTCAAATTCACAAAAAAATCCCTTGACCACCTACCTGTATACTTAGACAAGTAAATTAAAACGGGAATTTAGAACCATGAGAAATGATTAAGCAGAAAATGCTAATACCTCCACGTTACAAACCTTCTAAACTTTTCTTTTTAAGGTTAATTCGGTTTACTGCATACTGTTTACGCATCTTTTCACTTTTAGTCTGAAATAGTGGGGAATATTTGTAGCAGCTCAGGTGGGGATGGTCTTGGTTGTATCGTGTTCTCTGAGGAGCTGGGTTGTTTAATCGTGAAGCTTTCATCGTCTTTCTAGACAGCGACACCATCAGCGCTAACTTCAGTATGAAGTGAGCTGTCAATATCGCTCCGTGAGTGATTTAGTAGCTTGCCTTGACAATGTGGTCTGTGACTGGTTGTTTCCTTCGATTGTTGTGTCATTGACTGTATAGACTTTCCTGTTAGCTGTTAGTCTGCTACTAAATCACTGACGGAAAGATAGTGACAGCTCAATTCATACTGAAGTTAGTGTTGATAATGTCGGTGTCTAGAAAAACGATGAAAGCTTCACGATTAAACAACCCAGCTCTTCAGAGAACACAATACAACCAAGACTTTTAGATTGATTTCAAAAATCACATGGGAGAAGAGAAGTTGTACACAAGATGATGCCCAGTAAAACTACTCAAAAACTTACAACCCGATCTACATACAACCAATGTTAAATTTAGAATATTCAAACCTTGTCTAACGGCATTTAATTGAAGTGATTAATCTTAATTCATAACAGAATGATTACCTTAAAATTTCTTTCACTGCTTAGATACTCTACTTTCACTCAGTGGATGATAGGCTAAAAATCTCACTGTCTGTCTGACAGTATTCTAGCAGTCAGTAAGCAGCATAACTTTTAAATAGACACCCACACGGGAAGGATATGGTCTATTATGTGATGTAACCGAATGTGAAAGTGACTGGTGAACTTTAATACAATGAATACTAATAATATTGTTAGTTCGATTCCATAGAATTACAAGTTGAGATGGAAATGTGAAACGTTTTTATAAAAAAAGACATTCATTTTCAATAATCTTTTTAAACAAGAAAACATATTTGATAATGAAAAACAACAAGTTAGAATTTTTACGCAATTAAAACGCTTGATGAATAAATATAATCCATGAACAATACTGATAGAATAAGATGATGTTATCTTAGTTAATATTAACTTACTCATATTGAAATGGTGAATCCAGTGCTGAACGAATCTGTAACCAAAGACGTTTATGCTGATCATGAAATTCTTCGGATAATTGTCTTATTAATTTATATGATTTATCTTTCTGTACAGATAAAAATGATTCTCCAGAAGAAGATGATGAGTATGGTATAAGTGAAGAAAAGTCTAAAAGTAGAGTAATGAAGTTACAATTGTATGCTAATTGTTTAAAAGAATCATGTTAGACAGACAGATAAATGACTAGCAAGTCTAATGATCCTGCTGTAACAAAAACTATCAGTCATATTTCTTTCTTCCAGCGGAAGTAGTAACATGGTCAATATATAAACAAGCAATTATTGAATGCTTTCATGATACTCCTTGTTTTATAATGCATGAAGCAGAGAAATAACACATTATTATTATTATTTTCACTTGGGTTCCTAGTGGAATATACGGCTTCAGTCAACATGTCGCCATTTCACTCTCTTCTCTAGTCTTCTCAACCTCGCTCCACGATCGCCTACAAGCTTTCATTTCTTCCTCACACCATCTCCATGTCACCCTCACCTCGGTAGCCCAACTCATTGTTTCCCCTTTGGATTCCACTCAAGGGCCTGGCTTCGCCTGACCCGTGATGTCCCAATCGGTCTTCTCAGTGCATGCCCAATCCATCTTCACTTCTGGGTATTTGTTGAGTGATAGGTTGTTGGTCGGTCGGTCGGTCGGTTCATTGATAGAGTGAGTTCCTCGTTGCTTGTTCTTATTATTTTCGCCATCTCATCTCCAGTGTTAATATCGAGTGAGCGTAGACGGCAGCTGTTTATGAATGTCTGTAGTTTGTTGGAAATGCTTGTCGTCACCCACCAAGTCTCTCAATCATCACATAGAAGCACTGACTTACTTGATTCACATTAGTGTTGAAAATCTGGATCTTCTTCACCCTCACGCTGAGTGCAGTGCAGTAGATCTCCACACAGATTTCAGATTAATACAGGAAGGCCTGTCTTGCTGCCTTTCTGATACTGGCTTTGATATCCTCATCTCTATGCCTGTGCTGCTGCCTGTAGTTGAAACGATGCTGCCTTGCCTAGGTAGGTGAAAGAGACTACTTCCTTTAGATTTCTCCCGTTAATGGTGATTGGTGCTTGTTGTTGATGCTGTTGTTGGTTGGATATCTTCATCACCTATGTCTTCTCTGCATTCACTTGAAGTCCCATTTTCGCTGCCTCTTCTGACAACTTGTTAGTTTTCGCCTGTAGATTTTCGAGTTTGTGCGGTAGGACATTAGACATAAATGATCATCGGCGAAGTCCAAATCTTCTTCCGGTGTGTTTTCATCGGTCCAGCCAGCGTATGTCCATCTTCTCGCTCCTTACGGTTTGTTCCATGATCCAGTACAGTCCACCGAAATATTAGCTATTTGGAGACAATTAACAGGAGGCAGATAGACAGAAACCCAAATTCATAGCATTCCCAGCGTAAATCTCTAGTAAAACTGAGAATAGATCGACTATAGGAAGACTTTGACGCAGAACGAAAGAAGCTTTCAGTATTAATAAAAACATTCACTTTATTCCAAACAATTTTTGGTATAATTTGGAATACTCAGCATGACACACTCCAATAACAACAACATACGTGTATGTATATACTCGTTTACAATATTACGAATTGTGTTATTATAAAAACTTAAGTAATGTAAGGAATATTAAAAACGAGAACATTTTTCATTGTTAGTTAAATTACTGAAATGAGATTGTTAACTATTACTAAGTTTATGTGAGTTTTGTTCTAACACCCCTTTTCCCCCACATAATATGTATGCTAAGTAGGGTATAATCGCATTCTTTTAATTAGCTGTATGAGTGTACAGTCATCCTATGTAGTTTCTTCTTGTCCTCACTGAGGAGATACAAACAGAGAGAGGGAGCTGTGAATGAAATGGATGCTCAATGTCAGTTAAAATGACTGTAGCTAGTTGCCTGCTAGAGTATAAATATCTATCAACTACAGTGTTAATCAGTTGGGTCACAAGCCCACCATTCACCCCACTAACGGATTTCAAAGCCTTACGCAACATAACATAGACCTTTTTTAGTAGACTAGGAAAGATCAACGAGGAACAATAAAGAAGAATAGGTAACATGCAGTTTCTTTCTGTAATACGTTAAACGAAAGATTTTCTGGGAAGTCATTAAGATATAAGACGATCAACAGAAATCAGAAGTAAAACTCACTCCAAGATACTTAACACTCGATTTACTTTCTGCGGAAATACCATCAATGCAACAGGCATCATGGAACTTAAGCAGCTCACACAAATCTTGTTTACATCTGAGGCTAAAATTAACAGTTCGACATGAGATCATTGGTCGATTACAGACAAGAATCCATTCAATTCACAGAGATCGAAGTGAGAGTTAACTGGAATGGACACCATCAGTTCATCAGCATACTTAATAAAATTAGTTTTAACAGAATAAGGTAAATTATGTGAGAAGAACGAGAGCAGAAACGGTGAAAGTACAGTACCTTCAGGTACACCAGCTTCAGCAAGGAATGAAGTGGAGAGCTTCCCTTTATAGACAGTATACTGTTTCCTTTGAGAAAATAAGAATATAGCCACTTTGTAATCCATGGCTCGGTATTAGTTCAGAGTTTTGAACATAAACAATACACTAGACTGTTTGTTCGATATGTCACTCAGTCATGCAGTACTAGTTACTGAATGACGTTACGAACAGAATTTATTGTTCGGATTAATATCAAAGTAATGTCGACTTTCAAACTTTCTTCATACAGTCACGTATAGTGTGATTAAAGGTCAGTGGCATACAGACCGAAAGCTGAGTTCTTTTATAAATTTACTCATCTTACTAGAGTATATATATACTTGGCCTCAAAAACTTTATTTTGCTTAATTGGCTCCATTGAATCGTTCAGTCTACAAAGTTCCCCCCTCTGAGGGTTAGGGTTTAACAATTCTACGTCAAATTTATACGGTAACACTATACAGGATTTAAATTCCCTTTTAGGCATGTAGCAGTCATCCTTCCTTCTCTTGTCAGTCCTCATAGGCTTTTAAATAAACTCTGAAGGGTAGTTATCAAGTAGCAGTGTCTCTTTAACGTGTTTCGATTCCTTATTTCAAGTTCTTGAGTTACTAGTCAAACTCCTACCCCTGTTACTTAGACAACTCATCGAACCCACCTTGACAAACAAACAATGAGATTATGTGAAATCCAAGTATCTACTTGAGTGTGTTGACTTCCTATAAAGACCAGTATTTTAGGTTTCATCTTCTCTTCTCTTGACCTTGTAATCCAATACAGATAAATCTCCCTTCTGAATTTTTAATTCACAAAATGAATTGGACTGCATCAACTATCGAGATAACGTGTGTGAAAAATCTGGATATGTTTTAATTTCAACACAGTAAAGGTGTCATCCATATGTTGGCAGCATACGTTTCGGGTGGGTTGGAATTTATGTAACCCTATCTGTTGCCAACTAGCTTTAGATACAGCTGCTATGATCGGAGATATTGGAGACTAATATCGTTCCACCTTCTATGTGTTTATATATTTTGTCTTGGAATTTGAAAACCGTGGAAGTTAGACATAATCATAACATTAACAGTATTTTTTTATAATTGCTCTTACATAAATAAACAGCACGAACTCAATGCTAAAAAGCTTTTCGCCAGTATCTGTAAGCGGCGGAAGTTCTAAGTGATCATCATCAACGTCATTACTTTCAACATAGGACGAGGCATTAATGAGTAACGGTCCAACTCGCCACACCTCTCGCATCACTACATCAAGTAAAAAGGCAGTCAAGTACAAGATGAACATAAGAGAATGCAGTCAGAAGAAATATAAAGTACAAAAAGAGAGAAACGAAGAATGAGAAAATGGTGAGATTCGGTATAGCGTCGTTAACATGAGGATAATATCTCTATGTGTATACATCTGTGCCACTCACATCGGTTCTCAGATATGTGATCACCTACAGTCAGTCTCAAACCACTAATTCACCTTGTCCCGTGGACCTCAACCAACTAGTCTACATCGCCACACATGGCCTAAACCAACAGTCAGAGACTTCATACACTGATGCCGACATTGTGACGAGACAATCGGTCACTACGAAAGAGTAACACAATACATGACCCAACCAGCTCAGTCGATGAATGTTCATAGGCTCACCAACTGATTTACCTCCACTCCCTAAAACTCTATGCCTTAGCCTGACTTCTACATTACTCACCTGGTGACATCACGGAATACCGCCCATACTACGAAGGCAACAGTGGTCAAACACCTGAAGCCTTCCCATGTCTTCCACCTTCAATGGACATCATTCAAAGCCATACACACATACAGTAGAACAGACCGGACTGCTGTGATGGTGCACCACACGCGACTCTTAATAGACAATTGAATATCACGGCAGTGCCACAGGTGGCGTGAGTTGGCAAAAACCAGTCGAGCCTTTGTATTCGTACAGATTTCATCGGACACTGAGCAACCAGAGTACGGCTGATCCCACTTCACTTCACTGGTAAGTGAAGTGGTCGACACACTCAATCACTAAACTCTCTATTGTTAGCCGCAGTGGGGCACAGTTGAAGACCAATCCTGGAGCAGCGATTTGATTTCGGTGGTGAGAAACGCATCTCAAACATTCTCAAATTTCCACTCAGTATCCAGAAGACTCTGCATCTTGTCAGCGTCTTCACCTAACAGGACTACGTCATCTGCATATTTTAGGTCTAACAAAAATTCTCCTGTGATTAGGTAAACGTCTGTGTAATCGAGTGACGAGAGGGAGAACTCCATAAGAATATCTATGATAAAATTGAATAAGAATGGAGAGAGTGGGCACCCTTGACAGACACCACTCGATGAGCATAGCTCCCTGGACATATCATCATAGGCTCTAACACACCCACAAGTGTTCGAGTAGAGGGCCTTCAATAAGGTGATGTACTCACTCGGCGCTCCTTTCAGTGAGAGACATAGCCATAAGACTTCTCGATTAACGGAGTCGAATGCCGCCGCCTTCATGTCAAGAAATACAGCTATTGTCGGGCGTCGGTAAGCGTGTCTGTGTTCCAGGACCTGACGCAGTGTGAATATATGATCGATACACCGGCGGTCGGGTCTAAAGGCTGTCTGCCTGGTTTTCTCGGGCTTGCTGTTCCCGAGCTCCACTCAGACGTCGAAGAATTGTAGAACCTAGGATCTTGGATACTATGTTCGTCAGGCTGATTTCTCTGTGATTATCACAAAAGGACTTCTCGCCTTTCTTGAAGACTGGGATAATCAGTGATTTAGACCAGTCAGAGGGGATCGCATTTGGTTCCCGTATACTGGTTAACACTTCCGTTAACCTGACTAACAGCACTCTACCACCATCCTTGTATACCTCAGCAGGTAGTCCATCTGGTCCTGCCATCCTTCCTCGTTTCAAGTTACCTACTGCTTTCTCGACTTCTCCTAGTGTTGGGGGGCCTGTCTCAATGTTCTATTCAGGATCCGACTGGATAGCGGGTAACGCAGTGGTGGCTGGAGGCTAGTTAAACTCCTCCTCGAAGTGTTCTACCCATCGTTCCAGTCGTCTCCTCTGCGAGTGAATCACAGTTCCGTCCTTTTCTGCTATAGCCTCTCTTAACACACTTGACCTTTCCCCCCCCCCCTCCAGTCTCCTTAATAAGTCTAAATAAATGTCTACTATTACCAATCGCCGCCACCTTTTCCGTCTCTTTAGCTTCCGCCGCCCACCACTAATCGCGGCCGTTGCGCAGACTTTTTCTCAATCTACATTTTAGTTGCGCTCGCTCTTCATTCTACTCAGAGCCTGAAGGGATATGTTCACGTGCATCCATTAGTTCGGGAGAAGCTGCTGATATCCACTGGCTCCTTTTAGCCACTATTTCGGAGTCGGCTACAGTCTTCAACGTTGCTTTTACAGAAGACTCAGGATGGCACCAAGCTTCTTTTGGATGAGTAACAGTCTTCTGTTCCGATAACTGCCTAGTCACCTTCTCACTGAACATGGCTTTGGTGTTTTCGTTGTCCAGCAGCTCTCGGAATGGTTTTGTTGCAAATTTTTCTTACGTGCATTGAGACGCAGGCATATGCGCGCTCGGACTAACGCCTGGTCGCTACTCAAACACGTACTCCAGAAGGAGCGGCAGTCTTCCACCGATCCTCTCCAGCAGTGATTAACAGCAATGTGGTCTATGTGTGCATCGCTGAGTCGAGCTCGGTGGACGCCAGGTCAGACAGTGTCTTTTTTTATGTCTGAAATTTGAGCTAGCAAAAAATAGGCGGTTATCTGAGCACAATTGTAGGAGGCGATCACCGTTATCTGTACATTCAGCTGGGACTCCGAAAGTGCCACCCAAGTGCCTTTCTGCCTCACTCAGTCTACCCACCTGTGCATTGAAATCACCTGCAACAACCACCACATCTGAACGTCTAACTTTCGAGAGGAAGCTAGACAGTTTACGGTGGAACTCGTCCTTCACTTCATCCAAGCTGCAGTCAGTGGGTGCGTAAGCAGAGATTACAAAGATACAACGGTAAGTTTCACTATTCCTTTTAGTTCTCATTGTGCCATTCAGTCGGATAGCTCAGAGGCGACTATCAACTGGGATCCAGTCTAGTAGTGAGTTTCCCGCCCTAGTGCTTAATGGTATGCCTACACCTGCAAGACTTCGAGAGCTAGCCATCGAATCTCCAGAAACTCGAAGTGTGAATTTTTCCGATTCACCAGATTGGCCGAGAGAGGTCAGGTGAATAACCGCACTCGGGTCCTGTATGCCTGTCTCACAAACACAGCATACATCCATGGCCGAGTTGCTAGAGTCTTTTTGCCAACGAAGCCTGTTGACCAATTTGACGGACGGAGTAGACATTGAAGGCTACAATAATGTAATTTGGAGCATGGTTTAAGGAGATCAAGGATGCTGGTTTGTGAACTCAGATCGTTGTCGAAGGCTGCAGAGCTAGGAGAAGTTGAAGATGATGTAGCATCGTTAATTGAGAGACATGAAGGAAGATTAGACTGTAATGATGGGGAAGGAAACTTGAGTGCCGACAGAGTTGTGAGGGCGGTAGGCACTTCCCGGCTGCCCACACCGTAGAAAGTTATTTCTTCTTAAGGTACCTGAAAGATATTTGTGTGACCACAGAGACAATTGGACATCTGCCTCAGGCATGTCACACGAAGTATTTTGAGTATCATCATTTTGAACTTTTGTTGTTTCGAAACTGGATGGTCGAAAAGAAACGACAAATAAACCAACACCACCGGCCTCGCAGACCGTGGGGTATGGTAGAGTGTGTTATCTTTGGGACCGACCTTTTCTAACACCACCTAACCACACCACACCACACCCCCGCCTTCCATTGAAAAGGCAGCATCAGCATGGCACTGCTGGTCATCCAAGAGAAACACCTTACTCCTGTCACACCCCATCCAACTAGCAGCAGTACGACTTTGCCCTCACACCCACCCCCACCCCCCATCATAGTGTAGTAATTTACATCACAACGGTAACTGCTTTTCGTCTAACCACTATCCAACAGACCTTTCTGGTATGGTAGGACCTCGAGGAGACAAGTGTTGCACCAGCATAGCTCGTTGGATCATTGTGATATGCAAGCCCGACCACCACATCAAGGTAGCAGTTAAGTGATACAAAAAATAAATTCAGGCTGAATATTTTAGAAAATTATGATAATGTCTAGTTGCGCGGACCGAAGTGGTTGGAGCAATATTTGAACTGAAGACCAGTCCGTTGAAAATCCAGTGCGCAATGTTGAGGTCAGGTGAAGGGTTATACACAAGACAGGCGAGCCGATTGGTGAGATTGTGAACCTTAGTCGAATGAGATAGCTTGGACGTGTCATGCGTATCCTCAGCCAACGCCGCCCACTACGATGTGAAAGAGGGTTCAGGGTGGCCAGACCAACAAGTGACACTAGTCGATGAAGTCCCTGAATGTTGATCTGAGTTGTGTGAGGAGACGTAGACTGTCTGGTTGGGGGGGGGTCCTCGAGACGAAAGGAATCACTGGTTGAGAACTCTTGGAGACACGGCCGAAAATCGGCCACAATGGCACAGATGTATTCACTCCTCGACATCTTCGAAAGCTTGAATATTCACACTAACCTTTATTTTTAGACTGTTTATTCCCTCACATTATTTAATTTGCTTTGATATATCTTTTTCTATCCACCTGTTTTTTGTGTACTACTGTGAAGCGTGGTAACTTGAGGTGATGCACCGTTGTGTGACGTTCTACGTTGATTTTATCTGTCCACCTAAACCAATGAGTCATATCTTTACAAGCAGATAAAATGATTAATCCACATGAATTCGAGGAGCTAGCTGCAACACATAATCGGCTACGTTAATGACTGGAAGGTTTTTAGAAACAATCCTAATGTCGTGTGATGAAAAAACTGTTCACTGTCTAAGCCGCTGAGATTTACGTGACCAAAATGATTGACCAGTCCGTTTGATAACTAACAACCTTACAATACTACAGTTGGATGCCTGAATAACTAATCGGTCGCAAGAAATGAGGACACCAACTGCAAAATCTCGAATCAAAATTCACTTAACAACTATGTGCACATTCTCGCAGTAGACAGTTAGCCAAACTTATTGTGTGAAGGCTAACGATATTACCTAGCTGTCCAAACCTCAGTAGACGGAACACTATTTGGACCAGTGAGCCACAAGTTGAAAATCAAGTGTATAGACTAATTAGCCACAGCTTTATATCAACAAGTCTGGAAACTATGAGATAAGCCTCTCTGTTAACCTTTTTTGTAACAGATATCTGTGTTACTCTAGTTTTCTCTTGAATGAGTCAATAAATGATGTGCATACCACTTCTCCTGTGATTCGATTCTAAGAGTTGATTACTAGATGCGAAAACTTCATAAAATAGCAAATAATCACATTCGTTTTTAGGCATTAACCTCTTTAATCGACAATAATACTACTCTTATCACCCAGAAACAAATATCTCATAGGTAAATACACACATACAAAGAAAGACCATAACCTACCATAGTATTTGCAGACTGTACACAGAAGAATGACTGTCATTATGGTTATAATCAGAAATATTTGATGTTTTTTACCAGTCTTAGTTATCTTTAACCAATGAGAATTATGCGTTGATGAGTTTGTCAATTGGAATTCACTATAAGCATCATCAAAATCGCCTTCATCATCCTCTTCTTCGCGTATGTACACATTTTCCATAAACCGGATAACTGATGGTGAACCATAATTAGAACTATTATTATTATTATTATTAGGCAGACACATTTCTGTATATAGTCTGGTTGTTGCAATATCCTCATCACCACTAGATGAAGAATGTCGTACTCTATCAGCAACATCAATTATTGAACTGTCATCTGAATAATATTCAACATCATCAGGGATGACTTCTCTGTTGATAAATTTACGATAGCGTAAATCACCAGCAGGTGATATATCCCCAGAAATTCTCAACTTCCTTGGTGACAATAATAATGAAGCCTGTGATGAGTACTGCAAGCAGAAAAGATATCAAGACATTAATAATAATAATAATAATAATAATAATAATAATAATAATAATAATAAAAGGTAAGTTAATGAAATAAAACAAGGTAGAACAGTTAGGCGTTCAACACTACTAGCTTAACAGCTTCAACAGACATTGAATGACAGCTCTTAATTCATTTCTATGAAACTTGTCATCTGTAGGCCTTGGACTATTTTCCTAACAGTCACGGATTAGAACAAACACAGATGTTTAAGTTTACGCTTACATTATGCACACAACAGACAAAAATCAACGTAGCACCTCGCATACAAGTGCATCACCTTAAGTTGCCACACTTCACAGTAGTACACGGAGAACAAGTGGATAGAAAAGTTATACTAAAGTAGACAAAAAGGTGTATGAGAGAAGAAACAATTTGAAGACAAGGGTTAGTGTAAATAATCAAACTTTAGAGGACGTCAGAGAGCATATACGTCTGCGCAATTGTGTACATTATGCCCAAGAGTTGTGGCTAACTGCTCTGGTCACTTGAATTTCAATTCATGGAATAATACCTGTGAAAACCCTCCCACTAAACGAGGTGTCGGTAGCCAGGTGGTATCAATACGTACGGTTCGTCCTTAAGTACACAAGTTTGCGCATAGTTATTGAGTTCTATTCAACCACTATGCACAGTTACATTTTTTTACTTACTATATAAACCAGTAGTCAGAAGTAAGACACTTCCCACTGAGTAGTGTACTATGTGGTTGAGTGACAGAAGAATTACATATATTGATCAGAATAGGTGAATTTCTACAGAATTTTACATCAGAAAATCAAATTAACCGAATACACCACCGAGCAACTTGATTAACATATTTCACTAGTTCATAACACTTTTGTATCAGAGATCACATCTTGCGGCGGAAACATCGTGTGAGGAACGTTGAGGTCAGGTGAAAGGTACTAGGCAAGACAGTCGACTGATGAGGCTGTGAACCTTAGTTGACTGAGATGGCTTGGACATGTACTACCCATGCCGAGCCTCCGCCTACCTTGACGTGTCATCTTAGGAAAGGCAGGATTAGATTGAAAGACGGTTCAGCTACCTTGTGCACATCCGTGAAGTAGGCAATAAGCAACACCTATTGTGTGACGAGTAATGATACTACCTGGTTCCCCAAACCTCGGTAGGTGGAGCGAGGCTCTAACCCGCCACCCAATGGTTGGTAGTCAACTCCCTAAACTACTGGGCGGTAACTCTAGACCGAGAGGTGGCACCGGTTGATGAAGTCTCTCATTGTTGATCTGAGTCGTGTAGGGAGACGTAGACTGTCTGGTTGGGGTCCTCGAGACGAAAGGAGTCACTGGTTAAGAAATCTCAACGACACGGCTGAAAACCGGTCACAACGAAGTAGTTATATTCACTCCTGAAAATATTCTAAAGCTTGCATTTTTGCACTAAGTGGTATTTTCAGATTGTTTATTGTCTCACACAACCTTGTTTAGTGCAATGTCACTCTTTTTCTATTCCCTTGTTCCCTGTGTACTACTGTGAAGTGTGGCAACTTGAGCCGATGCATTGGTGTGCGATATTCTACTTTGACTTTGTCAATCTGTCACACCTTGTGATCTTGGCTGGCGGGTGGTTTCCAACGGAAACCCTGTTGACAAAAAAGTTGGAAAATTACTCAGGTGTGAGCAATGTCAACGTGGACCGTGCAATTTGCAACTTTGTTTCGCAACTAGTTTGTTACTGTCCATTTAATCTGTAAAAATGCTGATTATATTTAGATGGTTATGTAGAAGTAACAAGTTTTGCAATACTAAACGCTAGTTAACTCTGCAATACAACAGCTTCATATACGTACACGCACTAGACTACTAGTGATTTCTGATTTGCAAGACTTAGTGATATTATCATCGACTAGTCGGATTGCACCATGTGGTGTGGATTAGAACCCTACAACCCAAAAGTCGATAGACAAAAATTCAGGAGAATGAGTTGCAGTTTTACGTGTGAATGTAACGACAACCTTATCAGTAAATCCTGATATTCAATTTAGACGAGGAAATATTGACCCAATGGCCACAGAACCTGACGTTCCTGGGTTCGACACCTGACGAGGTCATGGTGCGCGTTGCTGGTAGTCCCGCGCTAGGAGTAAACAGCTGCCCAATCCTCCCAGGTTTACAATGTTTCTCCAACTGATGTCAGTCTATGATAAATACTAACCTAAAATTCTGACATGTATATTAGATATTTATTAAGGTACTGGATATGGGATTCATTTTGTACGAAATCAAATGCATGAATGACTTATGACTAGGAATCATCGAAAGGACAAAAATGGCGACTTATTGTATACATCTGCATAGTTCCATAGGATTGGAGCATTTAATTCATGTTTAAAATTGTATGATTCGTTTTATTCATATGTTGGCCTATACTTACATCAAATGTATCGCTACAATACGTTAGAAGTTCACAACAATTAATAATATGCGCAATCTGAGATAAACTACACTGTGCTCTGAAATTTGATTATGCCTTTTACATGCTGGGGGGATATCACTTAACAGGGTTCGAAAAAGATCTTGGAGAAATAGTTACTCGTGATGATTGCCAAGACCTATCACACGAAGCTTGGATACATATTTAATTATTAAAGGTTTGAGAAATAACTAGTTAAAATGTAAAAACTGCAGGAAAGAAAACTAAATTATGAGAGATTCAAAGACATATTGAAGAATACTAGGAAGTAATTCCTACAGTTGATAAGCATTTCAGTAACAGACTTAGGTCTGCTTTGGTATCTTTTACCTCTCATTGACCAACTGCCTGAAAAAAGCAAGTGAACACTAAAAAACATTAATGTTGGGCTGCGTATAGAGCCGTATACCGGTAACTTGTAATTTGTGTCCAAGATCTTGGGCAAAAACCAAAATCAACTTTGAAAAATGACAGTTCAATAATAGTTGAACTTTTCCTCTGCCTTATCAACGTGGATGATATCAGGACATCTGACACTCAGCTCTGTAGTCGAGCTTATATACATGGTGAACCGGAATGCCTTCCTATGTGTATGTGGGGCTAGAGAGTACTTCTTCTATATGGTGAACAATACTCATAGCAAGAATCACTTTTAGTTTATAACAATGAACCAAAAAAGTCAAGCGGTATATAATTATAAGCCCTACATCACCAGTAAAACAAAACACTGCAAACTTAGAAAGTCTACTTTGATGTTTCCTTTGTCTTATCAAAAGGATCAAGTGATTACATCTGGTTTCCCTAACATAATTGCTTTCCTTATTTTATTTCCAGTAGACTAAGATTAGTGAACCAAGCCCTTATAGTACATTCAAAACAGGCCTCTAAGTATTCAATCTGTTTAGTAGTCCATTTTACCACGTTATGACAATTTTATGTTAGAGGATTACACTATATTATGTTGCGTGGACGACATCCGCTGACAACCCTAGACCAACACTACAGTTGACTAATGGGTCAAGGAACTTGTATAACACCTTGAAAATAACCTGTTAAGCCCATTACATTATCTACCTTACCATAAAGGTCGACATGACTAATTAGATAAGTATAGACAATACAGTAACATACCTTCCATTCCCTACACGCACTCAAACTGTTCATGGGCAATGTTCATAAACAGATGGGTGAACAAATCATGTCATTACTTATGTGACTTGAATTTCCATACAGCACAGATTTAAAAAACATACAAAATAATGAGAAAGAATAAGTGTGTGCTCAGCAACTGTGTATATTTATATATATATATATATGTACATAATCAACTTCCTTGAAATTACACCAAAGTTAAATGAGAAAATAGAATATAAAAATGAAAAACATAAGATAAAATGAAATAACTAATCAGAAGCATGATCTATATCGACTGGTTGATGAGAAGTAATCTTTGGTGCATTCGAAGTTAACCTTAATGATTGATCATTAATAAGACCAGAAAGGAAATTAAGTGTTTGAAAAGTGGATAAATTGTCATCATTCATTGTACTTTTCGATACTTCAATATAACAAGATAGAGGGTCAATATCAATGGATTCAATTTCTTTGTCAATTAGATTAATAGACGCTTCATAGCCTGCAACATCATCATTCAAATCCACTAATTCATATTTAGCATCACAGTCCTGATCGTGAACATCCTCTGGACATTTTAACAGTTCCTGCTAAAATAAAAAAATAGAACAGTTAGTAACACCTTTGATATGTAATTTTTAAAAACAGTTCAGCCAGTTACTACGCTAGGAAGCACAGCTACTGTGGTAGATTGCTCATGATACTATTTGGCGTGGGATTTCAGCCCTTAACCCACTGCTTGAATGTCAAGCGCTTATCCTAAAGAGGCATATCACACAAATACCATCCATCCATCCATCCATCCAAGTCAACATAGGACGAGGCATTAATGAGTAACGGTCCAACTCACCACACCTCGAATCACTACATCAAGTAAAAAGACAGTCAAGTACAAGATGAACATAAGAGAATGCAGTCAGAAGAAATATAAAGTACAAAAAGAGAGAAACGAAGAATGAGAAAATGGTGAGATTCGGTATAGCGTCGTTAACATGAGGATAATATCTCTATGTGTATACATCTGTGCCACTCACATCGGTTCTCAGACATGTGATCACCTACAGTCAGTCTTAAACCACTAATTCACCTTGTCCCGTGGACCTCAACCAACTAGTCTACATCGCCACACATGGCCTAAACCAACAGTCAAAGACTTCATACACTGATACCGACATTGTGATGAGGCAATCGGTCACTACGCAAGAGTAACACAATACATGTCCCAACCAGCTCAGTCGATGAATGTTCATAGGCTCACCAACTAATTTACCTCTACTCCCTAAAACTCTATGCCTTAGCCTGACTTCTACATTACTCACCTGGTGACATCACGGAATACCGCCCATACTACGAAGGCAACAGTGGTCAAACACCTGAAGCCTTCCCATGTCTTCCACCTTCAATGGACATCATTCAAAGCCATACACACATACAGTAGAACAGACCGGACTGCTGTGATGGTGCACCACACGCGACTCTTAATAGACAATTGAATATCACGGCAGTGCCACAGGTGGCGTGAGTTGGCAAAAACCAGTCGAGCCTTTTGTATTCGTACAGATTTCATCGGACACTGAGCAACCAGAGTACGGCTGATCCCACTTCACTTCACTGGTAAGTGAAGTGGTCGACACACTCAATCACTAAACTCTCTATTGTTAGCCGCAGTGGGGCACAGTTGAAGACCAATCCTGGAGCAGCGATTTGATTTCGGTGGTGAGAAACGCATCTCAAACATTCCCAAATTTCCACTCAGTGTCCAGAAGATTCTGCATTTGTCAGCGCCTCACCTAACAGGACTACGTCATCTGCATATTTTAGGTGAATGTTGATCCGTGTTAGTTGCATATCTCAAGAGCATCGAAACTAATTTCTGATTGCATAGCACGATAAACTCTAAATAACACGACTTTTCCTACCCACCGGATCCATATTAACCTCGCCTAGTTCACACGTTACTAGCCGGTCCGGAAATAGAGGGAAGTTTGGGTGTTGGGCTAGCAACCCTACCCTGCTAAATCAATCCAGTCGCTAAACAAAATTCAGAGCACAGACGAAATATAAAAAATAAACCTATTCCTCGCTGCACTCGGGCAGACGAAATAACGACGGTTGGTGAAAGCCTTCGGAAAACCAATTGGCCGATGTGTCCTCTCTTCTCTCGATGAAAGCAAAAGTGAGAATGGGGACATGGAATGTCTGCACCGTGTTTGAAACTGGCTGGCAAGGCTAACCAGATTGCAAAACAGATGAGAAGATATAGCATAAAAGTACTCGGAATCTGCAGATGGAATGGAAGTGGACTCTCCAAACTGCCAACTGGAGAGTCAATAATCTACTCCGATATTGTCATCTAGACGACAATCACAAGCACACTGAGTTTTGAAGCGGCTATCATGATGTCCTCAAACAGCATCAAAGGCTCACAGGCAGTGGGAACTAATCTCCTCCACGATCAGGATCATGACAGCAAGACTCAAATCAAAACGAAGGACAGTTACGACCATACAATGCTACCCTACGCACCTACAAATAATGCAGATCAATAGAAGGAGGAGGAATTCTAAAAACAACTGCAATCAGTATTGGACAAGACCCCAGAAGACGATGGAGACATCAAAATTCTAATGGGTGAGGTGACATGAATGCCAGACTGCGAACAGACAACACACAAAGAGAACTCATCATTGGTTGAGAGGCACTCGGTGAAATGAATGAAAATGGAGAACTGTTCGCAGACTTCTCCACATTCAATCATTTGGTGATTCCAGGCAATATGCACTAACACAAGGATATTCACAAAGCAACATCGATTTCACCAGATGGACACACTAAAAACCCGACGACTTCATCTCAATCACAAGAAAGTGGAGACACAGTCTACTGCACACAACATCACGAGGGGGAGCAGATGTAGGCTCATACCACTCACTATCTACTTCATAGAACCTACCTTCAAAATCTAGTTGAAAGCCTTCAAAGAAGTTCGTCATAGACCACAGTTCAAGTTCAACAACCAGAACAGAAACTCAAGGACAAAACTACAAGGGAAATCTTCACGTCAGTCAGCCATCAAGACAAAATGGCAGATATCCAGCAACATCCCTGAACAAACCTGTGTGGATGAGCACTAGAACTCGTTGAAAGAGATGTCGAAAGAAACCTGCATAACCGTATTACGACGAAAGAAGAAAGAAGATAAGGAATGGATCTCGACGGACACATGGAAGCTGATAGAGCAGGGAGAGGAGGATGGTGAAGCAGAAGATAAATCAGTGCAGTGCAGTGCAGTGCAAGGACGAACAACGAAACGAGGAACTGAACACAACATATAAAACACTCGACAAAGAAGTGAAGAAGAGTGCACGCAAAAACAACAGACACTTCTACAACACTGGCAAGTGAAGCAGAACGGGCTGCAGGTAGCAGAGACACAGACCTGACAACACTATATCAAATAACCGAGTTACTATCTGTGAAGGGAGAGATCAACACAGATGAAACCAATGAAAGACAGTGAACGAAACCTAGTTAGCAAAGAGGCGAAACAAAGGAAACAGTGGGCTCACCACTTCACCACTATCTGCTACTCGTCCAGAAATACCATCAGCAACCCAACCAAACAACTACCAGTGGACACAAGCCCTCCGACAAAAGACAAAATCCTCAATGCCATAAAGCTGCTGAAATCCGGGGAAGCAGCACGACCACAAGGAATTTCGTCAGAAACACTGAAAACAGACCCACAGACAACAGTGGACATCCTCACACCACTACTGAACAAGGTTTGCAAGAAAGAAAGCAGAGGTACCTGCCTATTGATTGGAACAAGGGATACCTTGTCAACAAACTCACACAGAACGGAGACCTAACTCTTCGCAAGAATTAATGGGGAATCATACTCCTGTCTCTGTCCACCCCGAGCAAAATATAAAGCCGCATCATACCAGAGAGAATAAACACAATGCCCTCGACTCAAAATTACCACCGGAACTGGCTGGCTGGCTGGCTTCAAGAAGAACAAATCAAGCCCCGATCAAACTGCAACTCTACACTAAGCATCATAGAAAAGAATACATAATGGCAGTCAACTCTCCACCTCAACTACATCGACTTTGAAAACGCCTTCGATCCACACGTCGACCGAGAAGTAATTTGACCGACAGCTGCTTCAACACTGGGCTTTTAGTGCTACAAATCTTTATCAACCTCATTCAACAGCTACATCCTATATGATGCTATATGTCAAGTGATTCACAATCAAAAGCTCAGTGGCGCCTTTGAAGTGAAGACAGGAGTAAGACAAGACAGCCACCTACTATCACCCAAGGTCTGCCTGATTGTGGTGGACTAGACCATGCGGCGAACCGTGAAGAGCAAGAAGAAGGGTATACGCCGGCCATGCCGATGAAAAGACACCGGAAGAAAATTTGGACTTCGCCGATGATCATTTATATCTGATTACGCACAAACTCGAAGATGTACAGCCAAAAATCAACAAGTTGACAGAAGAGACGAGGTAGTGAAGACGAAACTTCCTTCAGGTGAACGTAGAGAAGACAAAGGTGATGAAGATACCCAACCAACAACAGCATCAACAACAAGCACCAATCACCATTAACGGGAGAAATCTAAAGGAAGTAGTCTCTTCCACCTACCTAGGCAAGGAAGCATCGTTTCAACTACAGGCAGCAGCACAGGCATAGAGATGAGGATATCAAAGCCAGTATCGGAAAGGCAGCAAGACAGGCCTTCCTGTATAAATCTGAAATCTGTGTGGAGATCTACTGCACTGCACTGCACTGTACTAAACTGCACTCAGCATAAAGGGTGAAGAAGATCCAGATTTTCAACAGTAATGTGAATCAAGTAAGTCAGTGCTTCTATGTGATGATTGAGAGACTTGGTGGGTGACGACAAGCATTTCCAACAAACTACAGACATTCATAAACAGCTGCCGTCTACGCTCACTCGATATTAACACTGAAGATGAGATGGCGAAAATAATCAGAACAAGCAACGAGGAACTCACTCTATCAATGAACCGACCGACCGACCGACCAACAACCTATCACTCAACAAATACCCAGAAGTGAAGATGGATTGGGCATGCACTGAGAAGACCGATTGGGGACATCACGGGTCAGGCGAAGCCAGGCCCTTGAGTGGAATCCAAAGGGGAAACAATGAGTTGGGCTACCGAGGTGAGGGTGACATGGAGATGGTGTGAGGAAGAAATGAAAGCTTGTAGGCGATCGTGGAGCGAGGTTGAGAAGACTAGAGAAGAGAGTGAAATGGTGACGTGTTACTGAAGCCGTATATTCCATTGGGAACCCAAAGGACAAATAAAATAAAATTTAAAAAAATACCGGTTTCATATTATGAAGAGGAAAAAACAAGAATGATGAAAATTTAGAAAAGCTTCATGAATTTAGACCCTTTGATGAATTTAGATAAAGTATGAAGGGTGAGATGCGCAGATTAAAGTAATATCATTTTATTTCATGAATACTCTTCAGCTGCATAAAGTCTGAAAGCAAAATGGCTATAAGCACACAAGATATTTCGAAATCAGGAAATCAATATTTTC